CGCTCATGGCTCCTGTCTGCTCAGCTGTGTGACCAAAATGGGATTTGGCAGTGAGATAGCTGTGGGGGAAGGTTTGCTTCTTGTTGTTTTTAAGGTGATCTATACAAAGGAATCAGCTCAATGAGTGGTTTGCTTCCTTTGAAAAAGCACCATCTGAGTTTAGATTTTGCGTTTACTATTTTAAACCCTTCCGATTAGACCCATGGGGTTTCCCAGGCTTGCCTGGGGGAGTTTTTTCCAGTCTTCCTTTCCTTTCTTTCCCAAACCCTGGGACAAATATTTGTTTTTCTCACATACTCATCACAGCCCCCGGCCTTTAGAAAATCCTGAGCAGCCCGGCAGTGACATGGGAGCCTGGTGCCTGGCTGGGGAGCCTTCAGCTGAGAACAGCGCTTGGCAGGCTCGCTTCCTGCCCCAATGCCCTCATTCACCATGGAAAGTTGCGGGGTGTGTCTTGGCACATTTGCTGAGCTCACTGGAAGCTCTCAATTTTGAGAGGGAAAGGGACTTTCTCATGGGTTTCCCGCTCCAAGAGTATCAATCAGCCTCAGAGAAACACTAGGGAGGCGAGAAGTGGTTTCCTAGCAGGAATCGTGATTACAAAGGCCACCGGCTCCCTTTGTATCTTTTGTTCCTGCTGGCGCCTTGGTCAGAGTTTGGGGGCCGCCCCAGTGTAGTCTTTGCTGGCCTGGGTCTGCTGATCCTGGAGGTTGGGGAGGAGGAAAAGGAAAAAGTGTCTGGAGGAGCGGAGAAAGGAGTCCTTGCTGGGGTCCCGCTCTCTCTGTCGCACCACGGATGGCTTTCTTTTGGCTTTTTGCAAATCTCTGATCTGTTGGTTCTTGGCAAGCCAACAGGGAAGGATCAGACCTATCTCGTGGGGTTGTGACATTTGAGTGGGCTATTGTAACCTGCTGGGCACTGAGTTGGTGCTCCTTAAATATTCCTCCCTGCCTGCACTTTCCCTTTCCCGCTTTCCTTGGAGGGTAGAATCCATATCTATATCATTTAAATATCATTTTTGAAATGATAGCTGAAGCAGGGGAATGAGGGAAGGAAACAGGAAGGAAAAAGTAATTTCATATTCCACCTCCTCCTCCATTTACCACCCGCCCGCCCCCTCAAAAAAAAAAAAAAAAAAAAAAAACCTTCTTTAACCCTGCATGTGTTATCGGAAAGAAGATGCACAGCTGTGGCTGGTGACTGTGTTTCCTTGCCTGAAGCCAGCCTCTGATGGAACCCCTCCGCCCTGCTGGTCTGTTGTTTTGCTCGGCTGAGCTGTGGGGCGTGGGGTTAAAGGACCCTTGCCAAAGTGACCAGTTTTATCTGGCTTTCTGACAGCTGTGAGAAATCCTGTTTGACAACAGGGCAGCTTCTAAGCAGGGAGCTGGGAGGCTGGCGTGATGTGACGGGACCCGGAAGCGGGAGCCAGGTCCCCACGTGTCCGTCTTGAGTGGCACTATTGGTTTCGGATAGATTTCATTCCCGTATTGGAAAGGAGTGCTTCTTTAACATGGGATCGAAATACGCGTCTTTAATATGGGAATGAAAAATATCTAAGGCTGTAGTGAAGGACAGTCGCTCCAGGGCAGAGAATGGTCTGTATAAAAATGACAATCCAACTGCCCAGTGGAATACACGGGCTTAACGCTAATAAGAGTAATTGAATTTAGAGCAATGGCTGTGTACTGTGAATGGCTCTTGGAAGCCAGCAGCTTCTGGGGAAGAGACGCAAAGGGTTTCTAATATGCAAATGAGGCTGGGTATGAAGCCCCCAGGATAAAAAACATCACGTGAATCTCACTCATCATTTTATTAACAGGTGGGTTCCTAGACTGATTTTGAGTTTTCATCAGTGTGCAAATTAATTAAGCTGTTACAAGGTGGTGCAGAAATATGCACAGGTATCTTTGGCCTTCTTTGACAAGGAACATGCTGCTCTGGGTCTAACTGTTGGAATAATTATTTTCTCCCCTGTAAATTACCGGCAGCAAATTCAGTGCAGTGCATCGGTATGCTTTTAATTATCCACAGGCTCTGAGGATGGGGGCTCCATGGGACAGGTATTTATGAAATAGCTAGGTTTGTATATGTGTAAAAATACCTATGAATCCTTTCCAGCTGGGTTCATTTATTTTAAACAAATCATGGTGACCGGATATTGATTTGGGGCTTGGGGGCTCCAACAAGAGATATTTACCTTCATGATAAGTGGATTTCATCCTTACTTGTCTGAGTGATAAAAAAAAAAATTGTTTCAGCCTTTCTCAAACTGCACTTGCTAGCTGCAAGCCAGGTTTTTGTGGGCATTGTAGTATTAATCGGCATTAGCAAGACATTTCAAAATATAGGCTGAGGGCCAAAACAGAGCAATAGAAGAAGATTAATCTGTTCTTCGGAAATGAAAACCATTTTGGCTAAATAAGCAAGTGTTGTGTTACAGTGAAAACAATACGGGTAGCAACGCCAGAATGTCTTTCATTTGTTCCGAGCTTCATTCATTCATTTGGTAAATTGTTGGTGGCCCCTAACATGTGCCAGACTATGGGGATATAGAGTAAATTGTCTCAGAAAGAGCTGGGTAAGTATAATTGGAGAAATGGCTGGGAAGCTGAAGTACGGGAGACCTAATACAGAGGGGCAGAGGTGGTCAGAAAACGGGTCCCTTGATGAGTAGGAGAAATGATCTCCTACTGAGGATGAAGTGTGGGTGTGCATGCATGCTGGTGGTGATGAAGTGGAAACAGTGTATTGAGAGCCTGAGATGGAAAGGCGATTATTACATATAACAGTTTGTTAAGGCTTCTATACCAAAGTACCAGAGACTGGGTGGCTTAAACAACAGATATTTACTTTCTCACAGTTCTGGAGATTAAAAATCTGAGCTCAAGATGTTGGCAGTCTTGGTTTCTTCTCAGACCTCTCTCTTTGGCCTGCAGACGGCCGCCTGCTCCGTGGGTCACACGTGGTCTTTCCTCTGTGCTTCTCTATGTCCTAATCTCTCTTTATAAGAACACTAGTCCTGTTGGATTAGGACCATCCTCATGACCTAATTTTAACTTAATTACCTTTGAAAAGACTTTACCTCCAAATATGGTTACATTCTGAGCTACTTGAGGCATATGAATTTTGGGGGGGTGTACAATTAAACCCATAACACTTCATAAGGAAATTGAATGTAAATTTCCAAGATTCAAAATTGTGTGCTAATAACAAACATAATTTATGAGAGAGGTTATAGAGTTTAAAGAAATGTAATCCTTCTCACGACTAATTATTATGAATGGGTTATAACCCCAACTCTGCTAGAGAAACACTGGAGAGAGTAAGAGTCAGATAAAGTTCTCATCTTACTCAGGAAAATGCAAACTTTGATAAATCGATTAATAAAGTGAAAATCCTCTTTATAAAACTTAATAGAGGTGGTGGTTGCCCAACATTTTGAATACACTAAATGACATTGAATTGTTCACTTTAAAATGGTTAATTTTGCCTCAACAAAAACAAACCAAAAAAACTCAAAAAGTTTAAAGCAGCCACTGGTAGAATCTTTTTAATGATGAATATAAAGCTTACAACTTTAGAGTAGATTAAGAAACAAAATATAGACCATAAAAGCAAATGAAAGAAAACAGATACAGCATGAAAACCTTACAGCCGAAATGCACAAAATGATAAGGTAGGCATGAGACAACTATAAGCCAAAAAATAGAAATAATTTAAACTCTTTTACAAAGGCTTTAAAATTGTATTTAAAAACCAGTGGGTTATATCCCGTCAACATGGTGTACATCTAAAAAAATGTGGTGAGATCGAAAATAAAATAACGAACTAAGATTGAATAGGCAACACAGATTCAAAGAAGGCAGGGCTGGCAGTGTTACTTCCAAAAAAGTGATCTTCAAAGCAAAAAGCATTAAATGGAAAACAGGGAGTCATTTTATATGGATAAGTTGTATGTTCTACAATACATGTTCTTTTTTTGGGGGGGGTCTCAGAATCACTTCTTATTTTGAAAATAATAAGATGAAAAAGAAGAATGATATCCTGTCTTTAGAAAAAAAGAAGGAAGACATTGTATACCTCTTATCAGACTTCATAAATAGGTACACACACACAAAAATCACCTTTCGAATTTCAAGCAAGTATTTTCATTCCAAACTGATTAGGAAGTCCAAGACAGGAAATATTTTGACAAATGTGACCAGAACTAAAGTAAAACCCGGGAAATCTGGAAAAATCAACTCTTTGATTCACTTGCAACATTTTGCTACAGAAAATGTAATAAAACCCTAACCTCTTTCTTTCACAAGCCTTTTAACAAAGGATCTCACTCAGGGGAAGCCCATGATAAAATGACTCTCTTCCATATGCACGGACCATTTATTCTGGGATGATGGCTGTATGACAGCATGACGTAAACACACTAATCCTACAAGTCAAGTAGTAGCAGCTACTATCTTCTTCACCTGACCCTCAGTATCAATAGATGTTATTATCCCCATTTTACAGATTGGGAAATAGAAACTTTGCTAAAATCACAGAGCAAATTACAAACATTACTTAAGACAGAACCCAAGTAGCTTAAAAACACCTCCCACCAGCACAGACTTTGCCACCTTCCGGGCCAACCTATCACACCATCATGAGTTTAGATATTAATGCTTTGTAACAATTCCTCACAAAGGTCGAGTGGTCAAGGCTTAAAAATCACTTATTATAAGTGAAAGATCCTGTCAAAATTGGAAATTAGAAAGCAGTGCAATATTCCAGGGATCTATATCCTGCACTGTTTATACCTGGGGTATACCAGGTCTCCATGTGTGAATTTCTTCAGCAGACATGAAGCCAAAGCCCCCCGAGAAGTTCAGGAACAATAACACCCTCTTGGAGGCTCTATTCATTCCATGGTTCCGAAGAGCTTCTTTCGAAGAGTCTGGGAGTCTCAGCTACGAGCTGAGATGCATCAGGAGTTATTCTCCCCTGAGGGAATCAGTCCACAGTTTCTGATCTTCATGCAAGTTTTCTTTAGCAAGAAACATGCATTTCATGTTATCTTTGATGTCGAAGGGCACTTGAATGGCAAGGACTAGTGTTTGGATGTTACAGTCTATGCCATTAAACATCTGGTGCAGAGCGTCCGATGCCAGGACACAGCAATCCGAGCTAACCCAGGCTTCACCTGTTGCTCACACCTCAGAATCTGTGGCGGGCCAAGCAGTGAGAAGCAGTGGGAAAGACAGGAAGCTTCGCTATTTCAGACGTGAGCAGTTTCAGCGGGATGTCTCATGCAGTCTTGACTTGTCCAATTCCTTCAACTGCTCATATGTCACAAAGAAAATAATATTCCAAGGACCAAGTCTCAACCAATTTGGCCAAAACCCTTTATATAGAGCAAAAAACCCTTCATTCTTCCATGTCTGTAACAAACAATCCAGGAAACCTGTGTAGCCAGGGATCTGCCATCTCAAAGGACTCTGATTCATCATACTTGTTCTCACCACATCGACAGGGTTTGAGGCCAGGGCCCCCGCCAGCCCACAGGTGAAGCCTGAGAGGAAATGGGTATACACAGTGTCTCCCATCAAGTCCGAGAGAATGAGATGCTTCTTGGTGAGGTCGTAGACGGGCAGCTCCACACCAACAACAATAGCGGCCCTCTCAGCAGTAAGGGACACGCCCTTCCAAAGTCCTCTCGTTCCCTCTTGCTGGTAAATGTGAATGAAGTTGCCTATCATTCCTCCTTGAAGGGTGCTATTTTGTGCTTGCATCCGAATTTTCAAAACATCAGTTGGATTAGCAATGGTTGAGGATATCACTCCAGAGAGAATTCCACAGACGATATTTATCAGAAGGGTTTCATCTTCCGGGCACTCGACAAATAACCGCTTCAAACTCTGGTAGACGCCTATCTTGATGGTGCCGTAGGAAGCCTGGCGCGACATCGCAGGAGCAATCCCTGAACACAGTGCTTTCAGGCCTTCCTCTCTGCCTATCCTCACTAACGCATGCAACATTCCTCGATACCTGATTTCTTTAAAGTTTGCATCATTCTTCTGGCCTTGAATCTGGAGCCGTGTCTTGGTTAAATCAATTGGAAAAGTACCACACTCCGCTGTGATGAGGGCCAGGCCTCCGTACACGAAGGGCTTCCAGTTCAGGGCTGACATGCTCACCGCTGTCCCTTCTCCTTTGTTCACTAGACGCATAGCCTCCAACAGGGTTTTTCCGGACCAGGGTTCAATCCCTGGTCCCCTGGTCGAGGAACTAAGATCCCGCAATTCGCGCGGTACAGCAGGTGGCGGCGGCCCTGCACCCTCCTACTCCCCAGGCGCAGCAGCAGCCGGCTCCAGTGGCCGCAGGGATCTGGAGGAAAGCCATGTTCTTTTTCTTTCTTTCTTTCTTTCTTTTTTTTTTTGTGCAGTACGCGGGCCTCTCACTGTTGTGGCCTCTGCCGTTGCGGAGCACAGGCTCCGGACGCACAGGCTCAGCGGCCATGGCTCACGGGCCCAGCCGCTCCGTGGCATGTGGGATCTTCCCGGACCGGGGCACGAACCCGCGTCCCCTGCATCGGCAGGCGGACTCTCAACCACTGTGCCACCAGGGAAGCCCCATGTTCTTTTTGAGTGTGGACAATGTCTCGGTTAGTATTCTAGGCACTTGTCATGCATTATTTCTCAGCAGTCCTTAGGGGTATGTGTTGTTATTTTCATCCCCATTTCAGAGGAAGGGAGGTTGAGGTTTAGAGAATCTCAAGTAATCAGGGGTCGAGGAAGAATCTGAACTCAGAGGTTGATGCTTTTCCCCCACACAGCCTGCTTCATGCACCCAACAGCGCAACAGAATCAGGGCTGGCAGTGTTACTTCCAATCAGATGTTCAATCTAATGTTGTTTACACTAGAAGAGGTTAATGGTAAAGTAGTGTATGTTTTTAACAATCTTTATCAGCCTTTGTCAGATTAAAGATATATTGCACAAAGAAAACATCAACAGGTTCCCAATTTATTGTGGAAATTGTACGGGCCATGTTCTCCATCTCTGATGCTATAAAAATTAAAACCAATAATAAAAATGAATTTAATTTCCAATTAAAATTAATTAGAAAATATCTATCCAATCACTTAAGAAATAAAACAATAAAATTCCAAAAACCTCTCCAAAACTCAAACACATTTTTTTTTAAAATTGAAATATAGTTAATGTGCAATATTATGTTAGTTTTAGGTGTACTCCATAGTGATTTGACATTTGCATACATTATGAAATGATCATGACAATAAGTCTAGTAACTGTCTCCATACAAAGTTACTACAGTATTATTGACCATATTCCTTATGCTGTATATTATATTCCCATGACTTCTTTATTTTATAACTGGAGTCAAACCCATTTTCTTAACAGTTTGTTTGGAAATTAATAAAAAGAGAATACTTATATCAAAAACATGAAATGTGGCTAAAGTTGTCCTTAAAGGCAATGTGATAATAGCAAATGATTTCATTTTTTAAAAAGAAAGAATAGAAATAAATGGATGGTGAAGTCATCTCAAGAAAACAGGTAAAAGAACAACAAGAATGCAAGTCAAAGAGCAGAAAAGAAATTTTAATTGAATCAGAAATTCTGATTTAGAATGGAGAGACCCCCTCCTCGTGTAACTGACTAACAGACATAAAAAGAGGTTTTCTGGCTGAATTTCTAGAAAACTTAAGAACAAAGAGAAAACAAGAACCTACTGTGTGGCACAGGGAGCTATATTCAATCCCTTGTAATAGACTATAATGGGAAAGAATGTGAAAAAGAATATATATGTATGTATATGTATAACTGAATCACTTTGCTGTACACCTGAAACTAACACAACATTGTAAATCAACTATACTTCAATAAAAATAAAGATTATGACTCCTAAATTTATTAAAATTTAAACAAATTTTCTCTCCTCTCTCAGTAATGCTATAAGATTAGAACTCTTTAATTACATTTGCATCACATACACCTTTATTTTTACTGGTTTGTGCATTTTGATTAAACGTATATTTTAAATAGCAAAAAAAAGAGAAAACAAATTAGAAAAAATAAGCAGCTATAATCATAGATTTGAAGTAGATTTTAAAATATAAGAGAATAAATGTTACGGAAAAAATAGAACCTTTCAATGAAGTGAGTGTTTCGCTGGGAAAATTCAAAATTGACCTAAGAATAAAAACCTCAAACAAATCAATGCACATGAAAGAAATGTAAAAATAGTTAAAGAATTTATTCTAAAATTTATCCTACAACCAGACAGATTTCTGTTGTTATTTTTAACTTTTAAGAAAGAGGTCACTTCCACGCTGAAAAAAAATCATGGAAAAAAATTCCAATTTTACAAAGCTGGCTTAATCCTGATCTTAAAACTTCATTGATAGCACAAATAGGATAAAGGCACATGCTCCATGATGTGGATGCAAAATTTGAAATCATGAAGGTTATATAAAAAACTAGGGTTTACGTAAAGAATTCAAAGACAGTTTTGTGTGAGGAAAATTTTCTGATTGGTCATGCCATTAAAGCCAAAACAACTTGATAGTATCCATTAAAACTGAAATATAATTGATAAAACTCAACACACTAACTTATGATTTTAAAAGACTATTCTCATAAAATTTACTAAAATCAATAGCTTTGCCGTATATAAGCAGTCAAACAACAGTTGGAAACCATAATAGAGAAAGCGCTTATATTAAACTAGCAAGAAAAATCACATAATACCTAGGAATAATGCTACAAAGAAATGTGTGGAACCTTTATGAGACAAACTCCCAAATTTTATTAAGAGATATTAAATAAGATTCAAAGGATGGGAGATGCATCATTCTCTATGACTTAATGATGTAAAGATGTTAATTTGATTCAAGTTAATTTACAAGCTTCAGAAATCTCAGTAACAATTCCCAATGTACTATTTTTTGGAGGAATTTCATAAAATAACTCTAAAGTACACGGGCTATGAAGGAGATAGGAATATGAAGGAGATAGGAAAAAAAGAATCATGACTAGATATGCAAAATGCATAAAGCTACAATAATCAAACCAGTAGACCTATTAGTGATAGACTGAATGACTAGTCCTTAAGCTCAAACCTACATGAGAGCTTAGCGTATAAACACGGGCACATCATACACTGGGAAATGGGTGGAATCTTTCAACAAATAGTATTGGTTCTTTGTGAGAAAATCAAGTCAGAGCTGCTCCTTATTACAAACACCAAAATAAATTCCAGATGGAGTCAAAATTTAGATGCAAAAATATTCTGCTGCATTAGTAATCAAGCAATGCAAATTAAAATGAAATGTTACTTTCTTTTTTTGTTATATTGGCAAAGATAGTTTTAAAAATCACTTGATTTTGGGAGAGTGTGGTGAGGAAGTCCCTTCATACTTCCGATCTGAATTTAAAAGAATTCAGCTCTTCTGAAGAGTGATATTTATTGGAAACCTCTAAAAATTTCAATTCTATGACCTGTAGAGTCCATGTCTTGACATCTCTCCAGGGAAAAGATAAGACAGGTAGACAGATGGATAAGGAGACAAAGATTTACCTACAAGTATTTTTATTTCAGTCATATCTGTAGTAAAGTTCAATAATTGGGAATTTGTTGAATATCATGTAGTCCCTAGGATGAAATATTATACAGTCAATGCATAAACATTTTGAAGACTATTTAATAACATAACAACATACTTACTATGTAATGTTAAACAAAAAGGATGATACAAACTATATGTACATAAATATGCATATATAAAATAAACTCAATTTTATTAAAAATATATAAAAGTATAGAAATTGCAAATAAATAAAGGAAAATGTTGGCAGTGGCTATCCCTATGTGTGAGATTATAGAGTTTTAGTGATTATATTTTTCAAATTTCGTAAGTTGAAAATGCAATAATTTTGTGAATAGAAAAAGAGTTAAAAAATCAAATAAAACAATAAAAAAAGTTAAAGGTAAAAAAATGAAGTAAAAAAAGTGGAAGAAGGAGAAATAAATATGTAACTTTTCAGGCATGTGGAAGAAATTTGAAGGCATGAAAGAAGTGGAAAAATCATGAATACAATTGTTCATAGATTTAATGCTCATAAATTAGCTTTTGCTAATTGTCTGAAAATCAAAACCAAATTTAAAAGCTATCACTAAGCTGAAAAAGTATTTGCAATAAAATTGACAAGACCACAGTAAATAAAAGAAAAAAAACAACTCATCTTTAAATAGAAAATGGTCAGATTATATTAACAGATAATGGTAGAAAAAATAAAAATATTTAATGAACATAAGAAAAAGATGTTATCAGAAATCAAAAAGTACATATTAAACTACATGGAAGTACTATATCTTCAAAAAATATTTACTGATACGACAACCGTTTACAACATAATATTAGGTGATAACGAAAAGCTGAACACATTTTATGCTCAGTTTTATGAAAATAAATGTATTGCAAAGTGAATGGAAGGCAATACACCAGATACAGTAGCAATGGCCATTTCTAGGTAGGTAGATTGGAGGTTATTTTGAATTTCTTCTTTAATGGTCTTCTATGGACTTTGTGCATAGAAATATTGATACTACTTTATTGAAGCAGTGATGAACAAAGGATTTGAACATATACAAATGCATCCACTAGCACTGCCTTTCATAGGAAGGACACCTCTTGAGTTAAGGACAAGCCTTCTTAAGAACAGAGTGTCAGAGATGAATGGATAAAAAAGATGTGAGATATATATATATATATATATATATTATATATATATATATATATATATATATATACACGATGGAATACTACTCAACCATGCAAAAGAATGAAATAATGCCATTTGCAGCAACATGGATGGATTTAGAGATTATCATACTAAATGAAGTAAGTCAGAAAGGGAAAGACAAATACCATATGATATCACTTATATGTGGAATCTGAACTATGACACAAATGAACTTACTTACGAAACAGGAACAGGCTCACAGACATAGGAAACAAACTACCAAAGGGGAAAGGAGGTGGGGGAGGGATAAATTAGAAGTTTGGGATTAGCAGATACAAACTACCATATACAAAATATATAAACAACAAGGTCCTACTGTATAGCACAGGGAACTATATTCAATATCCTATAATAAACCATAATGGAAAAGAATATGAAAAAGAATGTATATGTAGGTATAACTGAATCACTTTGTTGTACAGCAGAAACTAACACAACATTGTAAATCATCTGTACTTCAATAAAAAAGGAAAGACCAGAGTGTCAGTATCCTGAGAGAAATCTGCACCAACAGGCAACAAAGCTTTTACCACTGCTCTAAAATTTTGTGCTTTC